TTGTGTCTCGTTGTCCGCCGTCAGTCAGACAAAGGATCCCGTCCTCCATGCCACGTCGGACTAAAGGATCCATTTTAAGCTGCCAATCAAAGAGAACCCGGGTCATTACCATACTGTATCCACCGAGGCGCCTTGAAAACCAGAGGGACATCTCCCCCTAGTGTCCACTGTGAGGTACTGCACTAACCCTCTGCTGTCTGAACGTGTGGAGGAGAGGCCGCAGCTTCAAGACCTGATGAGGACCAAGTGTGGAGAGGAGCTGATGAGGTGACAGGGAGCGAGACAGCAGCGCTCTATGATGTTTACAATTGAATTATCATCAGCAGATTAAAGGACGAGAGAAAACTGAAAATAAAATGAAATCTGAATCAAGTCAAAGTGAAGCAACATTCAAGTTTTTATTATTTAACAGCCATCAGGTCCAACACTCATCATCAAACACCGAGCAGTGTTCCAACATCTGGAACCAAAATAATGCTCCAGATGTCTTTATGACTCAAAGGATCGTTTGATATCAAACCAGGCAGCCGATGATCCTCTCTCTCTTCTCTCTCTCTCTCTCCTCTCTCTCTCTCCTCTCTCTCTCTCTCTCTCTCTCTTCTCTCTCTCTCTCTCTCTTCTCTCTCTCTCTCTCCTCTCTCTCTCTCCTCTCTCTCTCTCTCTCTCTCTCTCTCTCTCTCTCTCTCTCTCTCTCTCTCTCTCTCTCTCTCTCTCTCTCTCTCTCTCTCTCTCTCTCTCTCTCTCGCTGTTGGCCTCAGGCATCAAGTAAAAGTAAAAATATCTAAAACATCGTTCCCATAGAAACAACGAGAAGCTAAATATATTTGTAACACTCATGTGAATGATTCTCATCATGATAAACAAAACTAAAAAAAAAGCAGAGTGGAAATCTTTGTTCGTTTCAAAGGAAAGACGCTCAGTTTAAAATCAACAGGATGACCACGCGCTGTTTGACCACGGGAAGAAAAGCGTTAGCTGTGCGCTCGGGAATAGGGTACAAGACACGATCATAGGCCGTTAAAACTACGGGGGATATCAAACATGTGGAAAAGAGCGCCGGTGACATCATCAGCGCCTTTCTGAAGAGTTGAAACATTTTTTTTCCGGGCGTCCGCCTGCTGCTGAGAACACTCTCTACTCGTTGAAAACATTTTTTATTTTTTGAAACGCTGGGTGGACCCGGGGCGTTAACGAGTCTTTAGAGACTTTGTGGTCGAACAGAAACAGAAGAATCTTTAAACTGAGCGTCTCCCCAGTAAGGCCTCTAGGGGGTGCTGGCACACCATCAAGCACTTGGTTTCCAGTCCGGCGAGGAGGACAGGAAGTAGGAGGAGAGAAAAAGAAGAGGAGGAGGTGAGGAGCGTCTGTGACAGAGGGGCACAGTGTTCTCTGTTTCTGCACGCCGCCTCCTCCCTCACTTTAAGCCCGTGTTAGTCCACATGTGTCAGTATTGTTTGTTTATAATGAAAATAAAGTTTGTTTGTTCCAAAACCACGCCCACTTTAAGTCACTACGGCTAAAGACCTAGTTACAATGCCACGTCCTCCTTCACACAATCTCCTCCTCCTCCTCCTCCTCCTCCTCTCCTCCTCCTCCTCCTCTTTCCTCCTCTCCTCTCATGGCGTCTATATCAGCACACAGCGTTTCTTAGGTTTGTGTCTGGATCCAGAGCAGCCAGGATGCCTCGTCAAACACGTTCTTCAGTCCTTTCTGAGAATCACAGAGAGACAGAGAAACTCATGAGTTAGAGTAACGTCTGACTGCAGTACCCGTTTCAAACACTAGGGGGGGGGGGTCAGAGTTACATACAGTTTACAGGAAGTCAGAATAAATACATGTAGAGTAAATGACTCCTCCTGCTGACGACTGTCTCCTCTCTCCTTACACATCATCATCTTGGAACAGAGTTATGACATCATCAGAGAGAGGAGTCTGCGTACCTGAGTGAGAGCCGAACACTCCACGTACTTGACGGCCTTCAGATCTCGAGCCAGCTTCTCGGCGCCCTCGTAGGTCAGGGCTCGCTGCTTGTTCTTGGCCAGCTTCTCCAGAGTGTTGCTGTCATCTCTCAGATCCACCTGAGTCCCGACCAGCAGGTACGGCGTGCGCGGGCAGTGATGTGTGATCTCTGGCACCCACTGTGAGGGGGGGAGGAGGGGGGGGGTGAGACAGAGAGCTGGACTCTTTTTAAACTGAGCAGTAATAAAGACTTAAACAGAGACGTGGAAACGATGACATCATAACTACACACTGACCTAACGTCCAGGTGTTCATGTTTTAGGAGTATGAAGCGTCAAAAGAACAAGAGGAAATCTCAAGCTGCAAACTTGCAGTTCCTGAAGTGTCCACTAGAGGCAGTCTGACAGAGCACCAGGCCCCGTATCGAGGCGAACATTCTTACAGTGGAGATCTTTCCTGAACACATTTCTCACCTTCTCTCTGACATTCTCGAAAGATGACGGCGACACGACGGAGAAACAGACGAGGAAGACGTCGGTCTGAGGGTAGCTGAGGGGTCGCAGCCTGTCATAGTCCTCCTGACCTGCAGGGGGAGACGCACGTTACCATCACACCATGTGTGGCAGGTCAATCTTTAACAAACAGACGCTCCATCTTTATTCTGACCTGCAGTGTCGAACAGTCCCAGAGTGTACGGCTCGCCGCCGATCATCACCGTCACTGCATAGTTATCAAACACCTGAGGGAGACAGAAGGGGGAGGGGAGGGGGGGGGAGGGGAGGGGGGGTTAAGACGGACGCACAATTTCAACAATGTCTGCACCACACCGCCGTTTGCTGCCACTCTAGTCAATGATTCTGTTTCCACATCACGCTGCGAGTCTATTTGTGAAAGAGTACGCGTCAAGGTGAATTTCAAAATAAAAGTCAACATACAGACTCCTGATCGTATATCACTTTATCAACATGACGTCAAAACAGAGTGAACAACAAATCATCCTCAGAGAGACAAAGAGACATGTTGTTCTCTTTAATCCCGGGTGATCTTGTAGTTCTCCCGTGATCTTGTAGTTCTCTTGTGATCTTGTAGTTCTCCCGTGATCTGTAGTTCTCCGTGTAGTCTCTTGTATCTTGTAGTTCTCCTGTGCTCTTGTAGTTCTCCTGTGCTCTTGTAGTTCTCCTTGATCTGTATCTCTTGTATCTTTAGTTTCCTGTGCTCTTGTAGTTCTCCTGTGATCTTGTAGTTCTCCTGTGATCTTGTAGTTCTCCTGTGATCTTGTATTTTCTGTGATCTTGTAGTTCTTGTATCTTGTAGTTCTCCTGTGTCTTTAGTTCTCTGTGATCTTAGTTTCCTGTGATCTTGTAGTTCTCTGTATCTTGTATTCTCCTGTGATCTTGTAGTTCTCCCTGCTCTTGTAGTTCTCTGTGATCTTGTAGTTCTCCTTGATCTTGTAGTTCTCTTGTGATCTTGTAGTTCCCTGTTCTTGTAGTTCTGTGTCTGTAGTTCTCCTTGATCTTGTAGTTCTCCTGTGATCTTGTAGTTCTCCTGTCTCTTGTAGTTCTCTTGTGATCTTGTAGTTCTCCTGTGATCTTGTAGTTCTCCGATCTTGTAGTTCTTTGATCTTGTATTCTCCTGTATCTTGTAGTTTCCTGTATCTTGTAGTTCTCCTGTGCTCTTGTAGTTCTCTGTGATCTTGTAGTTCTCCTGTGATCTTGTAGTTCTCCTGTGATCTTGTAGTTCTCCTGTGATCTTGTAGTTCTCTTGATCTTGTTCTCCTGTGATCTTGTAGTTCTCCTGTGATCTTGTAGTTCTTTGTGATCTTGTATTCTCCTGTCTCTTGTAGTTCTCCTGTGCTCTTGTAGTTCTCCTGTGATCTTGTAGTTTCCTGTGATCTTGTATTCTCTTGATTGTAGTTCTCCTGTGATCTTGTAGTTCTCTTGTGATCTTGTAGTTCTCCTGTGATCTTGTAGTTCTCCTGTATCTTGTAGTTCCCCTGTGATCTTGTAGTTCTCTTGTGATCTTGTAGTTCCCCTGTGATCTTGTAGTTCTCCTGTGATCTTGTAGTTCTCCTGTGATCTTGTAGTTCTCTTGTGATCTTGTAGTTCCCTGTGATCTTGTAGTTCCCTGTGATCTTGTAGTTCTCCTGTGATCTTGTAGTTCGGGAGTCAGGGTGCAGGATTTAAAACAGAGCTGAACCATGGCGCTGACAGAATGCAGCATGTTTGACTTTATTTAACATGCTGTGAAGCGTTGCATGTTTGTGTGTGAAGACTCTTCATGTGTCAGCATGTTCAGATGTTTACTTCCTGTTCTTTTATTTATCCTTTTTTTGCACTACAACATTCGGACACGTTTCTCGTGTAAACCTGATCCTAACATTCTTTAAAACCAAACAGGAAGTCTGATCTCTAGGAGGATGTGAGAATCATGTTCTTCACTTATACAGTCTCTAACTCTGAACCTGAAGCTCATTCTGAAACAGACTTTTAAAGAAAAAAAAAAAAAAAAAAAAGCTTTCAAAATGAATCTGTTCCCCCCTCCTTCCTGTTTCATCACTTTTCCTCCTTCAGGTTCAAGAACACAGCCCCAACACGCCCGCTAACCTCGGCTGAGTGTGCCGCCGACCTGCTGCAGCCTGCAAGCCTTGTATGCACAGACAGGTCTCAGATAAACTGGAGGAGAGGAAGCTGCATCGAGCATTTCAAAGACAGAGTCAAGCTGGGTTCACTCCTGAATCTGTTCCATCTTTCTATAAACAGGCAGACTCTCAGCAGGGGGCTGGAGACGCTTCATGCAGGGCTGGACTCGTAATAACAGAAGTGTGTCTGTGACCCGGGATATCTAAAAACCCTGATACCAGGAGTTTAAGAGTCTGTATTTTGGGGTCTCTCAGAGGTCAAACAGGGTTCAAGTCTCTTCCCGTATGATGATCTCCATCGTGGTCATCATCGGTCTGTTAGTGTGCAGCTGTGTAGCTCTCGTAGTACCATCTGTGTCCACCAGGGGGAGTTTGTAATCCTGCTAGCTACCCGTATGCTAGTCGAGCTCTCAGCCTACGCTAACGCTGACAGTTGTGTATTTTCAGGTGACGTGAAGACGGTGATGGTGGTGCGTGTATCAGTATTTATATAATGGTTCTTCTTCAATGAAAAAAAATTGTATTAAAGGAGCAGTATGTAACTCTGACACCTAGTGTTTAAAATTAGTACTGCAGTCTAAATTCTAAACATCATAGAGAGCTGTCTCCCCCCCCCCTCACTCAGGTCACCATGTGGTGGACTCTGAAGCTTCAGTGTTTATCCAGCTCTGCATGGGTCTGTAAACCTTTCTGTGTTCTAACCTCTCTCCATTTTTCAAAGCATCTCCAATATTGATCCTAGTTTGAGCACGTTTCTGCTCGTGGAGCTTATTAGAAACATGCAGAGGCTTTTAGGTCGGGACAATCACTTCTATCTGAACCACTTCTCTTGACCGCTTCCATCGCTGCAACACCTGTTGACCTGATAACTGCTCTCATATCTGACAAACAGAGGGGCGTCCAAAACGGCCGTGTGGGGGGGGTCTTAAAAGCGCCTACCTTCTCTGGTCCAAACAAATCCAGAGCATTCAGGAGCAGAATCTAAAGTTAGAAGGAGGACATACTGGCTGCTGCATTGTTGTTAGAGAAGCCAGCACTTCAACATAACATGTTTCCTTAATGATCAGAGAGTAAGATACCTTTATCATCTCACTCTCTACACAGCTCACTGATTGGACCTTTAATGATCAGAGAGTAAGATACCTTTATCATCTCACTCTCTACACAGCTCACTGATTGGACCTTTAATGATCAGAGAGTAAGATACCTTTATCATCTCACTCTCTACACAGCTCACTGATTGGACCTTTAATGATCAGATAGTAAGATACCTTTATCATCTCACTCTCTACACTGCTCACTGATTGGACCTTTAAATCATTGCATGGGTCAGCACCACATTATATTTCAGAGCTTCTGCAGTCTACACTCCGGCAGGATCAACAAGATGGAACAGTTTCATCTCATTTCAACAGAACATTAGAAACATGTCTCACCAAGAGGGGGAGACGTTATCGTTACCGTATTATAGTGAAAAGTAAGGACAAGAGACTGTGCTGGCAGTTTCACACCAGACAGTTAAAAGTGATGATGGGGGAGGGGGGGGTGAGCGACAGCCAGGAAGAGGAAGAAAACGATGAGTCAGCACTGATGGTTCTGCAAACCTCGAACTGATCGAACTGTGCTGACGAGAGAGAGAGACAGAGAGAGAGAGAGAGGGAGAGAGGGGTAGAGAGAGAGAGAGAGAGGGAGGGGTAGAGAGAGAGACAGAGGCAGGGGTAGAGAATTGCTCATCAGATTCAGCAGTCAGTAACACTGCTCGTCAATCAGAGGTTTGAATGTGTCAGTGGAGCTTAAAGCACAGAGGCAACGAAAACGCTCCGTCATGGTGCAGCCTCAGCAAAACCAAACACTTCTGAACATTCAGAAACCAAACAGGAAGTGAACATCTCAAACATCTGAACATGCTGACACATGAAGAGTCTTCACACACAAGCATGCAACGCTTCACAGCATGTTAAATAAAGTCAAACATGCTGCATTCTGTCAATGCAATCCGTCAACTACAAGATCACAGGAGAACTACAAGATCACAGGAGAACTACAAGATCACAAGAGAACTACAAGATCACAGGAGAACTACAAGATCACAGGAGAACTACAAGATCACAAGAGAACTACAAGATCACAGAGAACTACAAGATCACAAGAGAACTACAAGATCACAGAGAACTACAAGATCACAGGAGAACTACAAGATCACAAGAGAACTACAAGATCACAGAGAACTACAAGATCACAGAGAACTACAAGATCACAAGAGAACTACAAGATCACAGGAAACTACAAGATCACAGAGAACTACAAGATCACAGGAGAACTACAAGATCACAAGAACTACAAGATCACAAGAGAACTACAAGATCACAGAGAACTACAAGATCACAGAGAACTACAAGATCACAGGAGAACTACAAGATCACAAGAGAACTACAAGATCACAGGAAACTACAAGATCACAGAGAACTACAAGATCACAAGAGAACTACAAGATCACAGAGAACTACAAGATCACAGAGAACTACAAGATCACAGGAGAACTACAAGATCACAAGAACTACAAGATCACAGAGAACTACAAGATCACAGAGAACTACAAGATCACAGAGAACTACAAGATCACAGGAGAACTACAAGATCACAGGAGAACTACAAGATCACAGAGAACTACAAGATCACAGAGAACTACAAGACCACAGGAGAACTACAAGATCACAGAGAACTACAAGATCACAGGAGAACTACAAGATCACAGAGAACTACAAGATCACAGAGAACTACAAGATCACAGAGAACTACAAGATCACAGAGAACTACAAGATCACAGAGAACTACAAGATCACAGAGAACTACAAGATCACAGAGAACTACAAGATCACAGGAGAACTACAAGATCACAGAGAACTACAAGATCACAGAGAACTACAAGATCACAGAGAACTACAAGATCACAGGAGAACTACAAGATCACAGGAGAACTACAAGATCACAAGAGAACTACAAGATCACAAGAGAACTACAAGATCACAGAGAACTACAAGATCACAAGAGAACTACAAGATCACAGGAGAACTACAAGATCACAGGAGAACTACAAGATCACAAGAGAACTACAAGATCACAGGAGAACTACAAGATCACAGAGAACTACAAGATCACAGAGAACTACAAGATCACAGAGAACTACAAGATCACAGGAGAACTACAAGATCACAGGAGAACTACAAGATCACAAGAGAACTACAAGATCACAGAGAACTACAAGATCACAGAGAACTACAAGATCACAAGAGAACTACAAGATCACAAGAGAACTACAAGATCACAGGAGAACTACAAGATCACAAGAGAACTACAAGATCACAGAGAACTACAAGATCACAGAGAACTACAAGATCACAAGAGAACTACAAGATCAGAGGAGAACTACAAGATCACAGGAGAACTACAAGATCACAGGAGAACACAAGATCACAGAGAACTACAAGATCACAGAGAACTACAAGATCACAGGAGAACTACAAGATCACAGGAGAACTACAAGATCACAGGAGAACTACAAGATCACAGGAGAACTACAAGATCACAGGAGAACTACAAGATCACAGGAGAACTACAAGATCACAGAGAACTACAAGATCACAGAGAACTACAAGATCACAGGAGAACTACAAGATCACAGAGAACTACAAGATCACAGAGAACTACAAGATCACAGAGAACTACAAGATCACAGAGAACTACAAGATCACAGAGAACTACAAGATCACAGGAGAACTACAAGATCACAGAGAACTACAAGATCACAGAGAACTACAAGATCACAGGAGAACTACAAGATCACAGAGAACTACAAGATCACAGAGAACTACAAGATCACAGGAGAACTACAAGATCACAGAGAACTACAAGATCACAGGAGAACTACAAGATCACAGGAGAACTACAAGATCACAGGAGAACTACAAGATCACAGAGAACTACAAGATCACAGAGAACTACAAGATCACAAGAGAACTACAAGATCACAAGAGAACTACAAGATCACAGGAGAACTACAAGATCACAGGAGAACTACAAGATCACAGAGAACTACAAGATCAGAGAACTACAAGATCACAGGAGAACTACAAGATCACAGGAGAACTACAAGATCACAAGAGAACTACAAGATCACAGGAGAACTACAAGATCACAGAGAACTACAAGATCACAGGAGAACTACAAGATCACAGGAGAACTACAAGATCACAAGAGAACTACAAGATCACAGAGAACTACAAGATCACAGAGAACTACAAGATCACAGAGAACTACAAGATCACAGGAGAACTACAAGATCACAGAGAACTACAAGATCACAGGAGAACTACAAGATCACAGAGAACTACAAGATCACAGGAGAACTACAAGATCACAGAAGAACTACAAGATCACAGAGAACTACAAGATCACAGAGAACTACAAGATCACAGAGAACTACAAGATCACAGGAGAACCACAAGATCACAGGAGAACTACAAGATCACAGAGAACTACAAGATCAGAGAGAACTACAAGATCACAGAGAACTACAAGATCACAGGAGAACTACAAGATCACAAGAGAACTACAAGATCACAGGAGAACTACAAGATCACAAGAGAACTACAAGATCACAGGAGAACTACAAGATCACAGAGAACTACAAGATCACAGGAGAACTACAAGATCACAGAGAACTACAAGATCAGAGGAGAACTACAAGATCACAGAGAACTACAAGATCACAGAGAACTACAAGATCACAGAGAACTACAAGATCAGAGAGAACTACAAGATCAGAGGAGAACACAAGATCACAAGAGAACTACAAGATCACAGGAAAACTACAAGATCACAGAGAACTACAAGATCACAGGAGAACTACAAGATCACAAGAAACTATAAGATCACAGAAGAACTACAAGATCACAAGAGAACTACAAGATCACAAGAGAACTACAAGATCACAGAGAACTACAAGATCACAGGAGAACTACAAGATCACAGAGAACTACAAGATCACAGGATAACTACAAGATCACAGGAGAACTACAATATCACAGGAGAACTACAAGATCACGCGGGAATAAAGAGAACAACATGCAAACAACATAGCTTTGTCTTTCTGAGGATGATTTGTTGTTCATTCAGTTCCTGTTTTGACGTCATGTTGATAAAGGATGAAATATACGAACGTGAGTCTGTATGTTGTATTTTATTTTGGAATTGACCGGACGCTCTGTGCGTTTCCTTGTCTGACTTCGTAGGGATATCTGATATGGTAGTTTCATAGTGAAGATTCTGTAATGTTTCATGGATTGATTGCAGTCCTACACACCTGTCTAATAAATGTAGTTTTTTAAAGCTTCAGTACTTTTGATACTTTTAATGATTGAAACAAATTATATCGTTTTAAAACATCCAAACATATGACAACCTTCCTATTTATAGTAGTAGTAGTAGTAGTAGTAGTAATGTGTGTGTTAAGAGTACAGGTGACTTGATGCGTGAGCCTTACGCCTCATAAACAAACAAAGTCTAAGAACTACAAACAAACAAACACACACACACAAACACACACACATAGCTGTTTCCTGTTTAAGAGGCAGCGGTGACATCACTCAGAGTAAATATTATAAACATGATGATGATAAAGATTAGAGAAGAGTAAAAAGGAAAGGGAGGATTAGTGAAAGCACACAAACACAATACAACAAACACAAACTTCTACACACACTTAGTCATTAACACACACGCAGGTTAAGAGTGTGTGAAACAGGTAACGATGATAAAACAACGTCTCACCTTCTCTCTTCAGCGGCATGTCGTCTCTCTGATCCACATAAATCCTCTTTAGGATTTTACAAACACACACGGGGCATGCTGGGTAATGAAGTCCTAATCCTTCACTCTCATCAGCCCTCTGGCACACAGAGAGTCACACGCTGAAGCCCCGCCCTCTCCTGTGTTCAGATTGGGCCATGCTGACAGTCACAGTTTGATTGACAGCTGTAAACAGACACTGTTAGTGTTTAGGTTTAGGTCATCACAGCATACATCTGATTATGAAAATTAACTTTACATGAACTTGTTTTATATTATATATTAATATCTTTGTGTTAATTATAACTGTAGCATCTGTTTACATTAGAGGTACTGTGGCTGTAAATTAGCACTGTTGCTAACTCTGGCATGTTTTACAACCTGAGGTGCTCTATCCCTTTAAATAAATAAATTAAGGGGCGCTGGTGGCGCAGTGGTTAGTGCGAGGCTGTAGTCATCAACGCGGGCGGCCCGGGCTCGAGTCCGGCCTGTGGCTCCTTTCCCGCATGTCATTCCCCACTCTCTGTCTCCTGATTTCCGACTCTGTCCACTGTCCTGTCTCTCAATTAAAAGCACAAAAAGCCAAAAAGAAATCTTAATAAATAAATAAATAAATAATTCTGTGGGGTGTATTTTACGTTTGACATATCATGACCACTTTGTTTGCGCTTCGTCTTTGTGCATATAAAGGTAACTTTATGATTGTAAAATGTTGTTGTCATGTAAGCTAAGCTAACTAGCTGCATGGTACAGCTTCAAGTTGGTGTAGGGTTGTCAGGATACCCAAATTTAAAACTTTGATATAAGACACCTGGAAAAATCTAACAATAGTGAACCGCGCCGATCTGTCAATCAGGTTAGCCTTGTGCCTATATGCATAACTCGTATCGTTCATAAAACTGGATAAAACTAACAAAATAATTCAGCCCCTGTACAGTGTGTACCCATGATGACAATTACTAATCACACCTGTTTGGTTTTTTTGAACCAGGCTGTAAACATGTTCATCTCTGCTGTAAAAACAGGCTTTTTAGAATGGGTGTGTATGTGACTTCCTGTGCTTCTGCAGCCAGCCTCTAGTGGACACTCCAGGAACTGCAGTTTGTTGCACTTCTGAGTTGGCTTCATCTTTCAACATCAACATGTTGCTGCTCGATTGAGACTTGAAGCAACCCGTGTAGGTGATTTGAACTCTGATAATGAAGTTTGGTTTGTTTGTTGGATTAATGAGCAAACTAGCTAACATTCAGTACCATCACAGCATTAACTCTTCAGTCAGAGGAAAACAAACAGAACAGATAACCTACTTACTGGGATGGATTATTTAAGTGGGTGTTAGATACCCTCAGTCTTGACTCTCAGGCTCCCTTTCCGCTTTAAATTCTAAACATGTTTATGTTTGCGGACAATCTCGGATGTTTGCTAACCCATGAATTTAACACGAGAAAAAAATTAAGTATGTGGTGTGTAGAGCTTGTTGCTGGAGAACAGTAGCAGCGAGGGAGAAGTAGGTGTTCCTTGCAAACCGTACGCAGGGCGAATTAACAAGTGACTTTCTGGTAAACGGTTGATTTTAGCCTGTCTGTGTGGCTTTACCTGATCAAAGATAGCTCGTTTCGGTTGTAAACGTTATTAACCGGATTAACAGTGTGATTTAGCGCGGACAGCTGCTACGTTAACCTCGATTAATCGTTAAATTTGACCAAATAGTCGTTAATTTTCAGACGTGTTTGTTTTTTCAGTCAGGCGCCGATTAGGGCACCTCTCTCCTCGGGTATTCTCCCGCCTCTCCCACTTCTGACCAATCAAAACCAGTGCTCGGGCAGCGCGCGTATATGATTGGTCCTAGCACTAGAGAGGCTTGAGCTCAGAGCGGCGCCTGATTGGAGCGTTGTCTAGTCGCTCACGTGGCCCCTCTGGTGGAGTATAAAAGCGCGGGCTGGGCAGTGGGACACGACGTGAAGACTCCAACAGCTATCAGCTAGTGACGGCTAAATGCTAACAGTGTAGTCCCGACTCTTCCGCGGGCTTGCTTTCACGCACAGTGCGCGTTTTCGGGGATGTTTTGCGGGTTTGTTTTTTGTTTTTAGGGGGCGTGTGTTAGCCACATGTTAGCCACTATCTGCACGTTAGCCGGATGTGGCTAGCTTTAGAAGCTAAGTGTTTACCAGTTAGTGTCCTGAATTATTCATGAGCTCCTTCCGTGATTGGTGGATACAGAGTCGGAGGCGGGGCTAGTGAGGGTGTCTGCAAGAAGGGAAATAACACACACACATACAGAGGTCTATTTATGTGTGGATAATATTAGAAACGACACACTGAGGAGGAGGAGGAGTGTGTTCTTGGTGAGTAGAGATTGTTATTATGACAGTTTGTCAAACTGAACTGAGATTGAATCAAAGTTTGGATCATTTTCAGTCAGTTTTTAATCAGAAGTTGTTCAGAGAGAAAGCAGCAGTGTTAATGTTACTGTCTCATTAAGATGCAAAGTTACTTTTATGTTTCTTAACTTTCTTGTGTTTCGGAATGATCATGAAAAAATAAATGGCACATCTGTTATAGAATAGAATAATATAGAATAATATAGAATAATATAGAATAATATAGAATAATATAGAATCACTTTATTGATCCCAAACTGTGAAATTGTGTCGTTACAGCAGCAGGTTATCCAACACACAGTATGAGTAAAAAACACAATGTTGGCAAATTTAAACACAATATAATATTAAATACAAAGTAAATAAGTACTAAAAATATCAAAACTAAGAATGAGAATATATACAACCAGGATTTAACTAAGCATTACTCGTCTTAAATATGAAAGATTAAATGTAAATGTGCAAAAACAGAGTTGTAGATGGTTGTAAATTATTTATTTTTGGGCTTTTGTGCCTTTAATGGAGAGATGGGACAGTGGATAGAGGTGGAAATCAGAGAGAGAGAGAGAGAGAGAGAGAGAGAATTGACATGTGGAAAGGAGCCACAGGCTGGATTCGAACCCGGGCCGCCACGGACTACAGCCTCCATGCATGGGACGTGCGCACTATCCACTGCGCCACTGTGCCACCAGCGCCCCGGTTGTAAATGAAATATGAAAGATTAAATGTGTAAAAACAGAGTAGTAAATGGACAGTGTTGACATCAGTTAAAGTGAAGGAGTGTAGACATATGAGCAGAAACTATTCAATATAACGGAGAGTAAACAGACAAATGAAGTGAACATGAGTGCAGGGATCATTAGTAAATGTAACATGTGCAGAACAGATGACAGTGTGGAGAGAGAGATATTATCATGATGACAGTTCTCTGCTCACATGAGGTGAGCTGTTGTACAGAGTCAGGGCCTTCAGTAAGAAGGATTTCTTGTATCTGTCCTTGTGACAGCAGAGTTGTATCAGTCTGTTGGAGAAGCTGCTCCGCTGTTTGTCCAGTAGGGTGTGCAGAGGGTGATCAGGATTATCCATAATGGATAACAGTTTGTTCAGAGTCCTCCTCTCTGTCACCACTACAAAAGAGTCCAGCTTGCAGCCTATCACAGAGCAGGCCTTCTTAATGAGTGTGTCCAGTCTCTTAGTAGTTTACTAAGAGTTTACGAGACAGGTGTAGAAGAAGAGCGAGTTACCAGACTGAAACTCCTGCTCAACGTGTCCAAACCTAAATGCTGCCAAGACATTTGTGCAATTCACACAGCGCGCTCTCTCTTAGGGTTAAAAGTATGAAGTGTTTTCTGTAAATGCTGACGTACTAAGTAGAGTTTGTGTTTCCTGTGTTGACAAACCAAGGGACACTAAAGAGCTTCCACACGTGCTGCGAAAAACTCTGAAACTCGTTTTTTCCGATGCGTCTGACACTACATGAACGCAGCAGTAGTCCTGTCAGTCAAACTAACTCCTCCCCTCTCTGTGATTGGCTGCTAGGTCTTCAGGTGGAAGATGATCAAGATGTCACTGGACAGCGAGACTGTCCTCCCTAACGAGGTGAGCCCCGCCTTCCCCGCCACCGGCAGCCTGTCAGAGCAGCCAAAACTGGCGAAGACCGGCGCCCTCTGTTCAAACAACGGACTTCATCCGCCGGGAAACAGTCAGCACGCCATCACATCCTCCGCTCCCCACACCCAGCGGATCGCAAAGAGGCGATACTCGATGGGCGTCGGCTTCAAAGGGCTGGCCAAGCGGCGGCGTCGCGCCAACAGTGAAAGCCAATCGGAGCCTGTGCTGCCCAGTAACTTCCTGTTGGGAGGAAATATCTTTGACCCGCTGAACCTCAACTCGCTGTTGGACGAAGACGTCAACAAGTGAGGCGTAAAACAGTTCTTTGATTCATTTTAGTTTTATATGTAGGATATTTTATCAGCTGAGTGTGAAGTCAGGATGAATTTTGAAATCAGATAATTAAGCTCCTCCTCTTCTCCTCCTCAGGGCGACCAATCAGGAGACACCCAAGTGCTCACCCTTGCCTCTGCGGGGAGAAGACCCTGTAGAGATCCTGGTTCCCCGTGACATCACCGACCCCCTGAACCTGAAGGGAGGGGGCAGGGGCGGGAAGGAGGGGGGAGGAGTTCTGCTGTCCCCGCTGAAGACGAGGAGGAGACACAGGAACAGACACCACGGAGGGGGAGGAGCCGGAGGAGAGAGGGAGGTCGTACCTGCCCGACTGTTCCCCTCCGCTGCAGGACTGACAGGTGAGAGACGAACACCTGGAGCTCTACTGACACCTGGTGGCTGCTGCATGAAACTACTACTGCATTTAAATGGGCAATGACTGTTAGCTAAGCTAACATTAGCTGCTAACAGGAGCTGACATTAGCTGCTAACATCAGCTGCTAACAGGAGCTAACATCAGCTGCTAACCAGAGCTAACATCAGCTGCTAACAGGAGCTAACATTAGCTGCTAACAGGAGCTAACATTAGCTGCTAACAGGAGCTAACATCAGCTGCTAACCAGAGCTAACATTAGCTGCTAACAGGAGCTAACATGAGCTCCTAACATCAGCTGCTAACAGGGGCTAACATTAGCTGCTAACAGGGGCTAACATTAGCTGCTAACAGGAGCTAACATTAGCTGTTAACAGGCGCTAACATTAGCTGCTAACAGGAGCTAACATCAGCTCCTAACAGGAGCTAACATCAGCTCCTAACATCAGCATCTAACAGGAGCTAACATTAGCTGTTAACAGGAGCTAACATTAGCTGCTAACAGGAGCTAACATCAGCTCCTAACATCAGCATCTAACAGGAGCTAACATTAGCTGCTAACAGGAGCTAACATCAGCTCCTAACATCAGCGCCTAACAGGAGCTAACATTAGCTGCTAACAGGAGCTGCTAACAGGAGCTAACATCAGCGCCTAACAGGAGCTAACATTAGCTGCTAACAGGAGCTAACATCAGCGCCTAACAGGAGCTAACATTAGCTGCTAACAGGAGCTAACATCAGCTGCCAAAAGTGATGCTAACACATAATGAAAACAGTTTACTGGACGTAAACCAATCAGAGAAGAGGAAGGTTCTTCTTAACTGACATTTGGTTGTTAAACTGTTTAATTTTTATAAAATGATTCTCCCGTCCCGCAGTTCCTGCGTTGACCACGGGGGGCGCTGTGGTTAATATAATAAATAAATGACTGTTAACTGTTTTCGTTGCCTGCAGTTCCTGCGTTGACCAAAGTGGGCAGTGTTCCAGCCTCTCCGCTCCCCTGTGAACTCAACACGGCCATCACCTGTCGAGATGAACAAGCCCCGCCCCCGATCCTACCCAGAAGACACACCCACCCTCTGCCGGGCCAGGCCCACAAACATGGTAACCAGGGCGACAATCGCCAACGGAGACGGCGGCGCACAACCTCAACGAGGTCAGGAGACTGTTCAGCAAACACTGTTACCATGGCAGCCCCCGCCAAGCCAACCAAATTCCAGACACCTCTGGTGGGAGGGGCTAAAGTTGGAAGGTAAGTGGAACACCTCGAGGGTATAAGAAGTCTGTGACCTGATTGGCTGCCTGGTGACTTGACCCGTGTTGTGTCTCCTGCAGGTGTGGAGGACTAGAGTCAGACTCTTCTCAGCCACCACAGAAGAAGAAGGACAAACACCGCTATCAGAACGGCAACCACAGCTGTTACTACGGCTACAACGGTTTCTATGGCGACAAGCGGAGGGACGAGTTGGGTTGGAGGAGGACCCACGGCTCCGCCTCCTCCAAGCCGATTGGTTCAGAGACAAAACGGTGCTGGATGTGGGTTGTGCTGCGGGTCACGTGACACTGGCTGTAGCTCGCAGATTTAACCCCGCCCACATTCTCGGAGTGGAGCTAGACAAACGATTGGTCAACGCTGCCCAGCAGAATGTTAGACACTTCCTGTCACATGACTTGGTGGTGGAGCAGAGGAAGGGGGGTAGAGGGGTGTCAGCTCTGAGGAGCAGGGAGGGGGGAGAGGAGGAGAGCAGGGAGGGGGGAGAGGAGGAGAGCAGGGAGGGGGGAGAGGAGGAGAGCAGGGAGGGGGGAGAGGAGGAGAGCAGGGAGGGGGGAGAGGAGGAGCAGAAGAATAAAGATGTGGAGGAGAAAAAGATGGAGAAGGTTGAGGAGGAGGAGTTGGAGGAGGTGATGGGAGAGTTCCAGCAGGCCCTCTCTCTCCTCCCCCTCCCCCTCTCCTTCAGGGTGAGTCGTGGTCCTCTCTCTGCTCCCCCCCTCCTCCTCCTCCCGCCTCCCTCCTCCTCCTCCAGGTTCCCCAACAACATCACTTTCATCCAGGTGAGTCTCACTCTGACATCACATGACATCACGATTACTGTGACATCATCACTGATCTGACTCCTCCCACAGGGCGACTACGTGTCGGAGCGGGAGGCGTGGCCTGGGCGGGGCCAGTACGATGTCATCCTGTGTCTGGGCGTGACAAAGTGGGTGCAGCTGCAGTCAGGCGACGTGGGCGTGATCACGCTGTTCAAACGAGCCTATCAGAGCCTGTCGCCGGGCGGATTATTCATCCTGGAGCCACAACCATGGAGCAGCTACTGCCGCAGCAAGCGGGCCTCGGTACGAGCTCAGTTCATGTTCACGTTTATTTCATAAAGAGTCACCGTGTAGTTACACGCTGTGCTCATGTGTTCTCAGAGTCGGACGTATTCTCACTTCAGGACTCTGAGACTCAGACCAGAACACTTCACCTGTTACCTGACCAACAACGTGGGCTTCACCTCCTACAGGCTGCTCACACACACAGGTACACACACACACACACAGGTAAACACACACACACAGGTAAACACACACAGGTACACACACACACAGGTACACACACACACACACACAGGTAAACACACACAGGTACACACACACACACACAGGTACACACACACAGGTAAACACACACACACACACACACACACACAGGTAAACACACACAGGTACACACACACACACAGGTAAACACACAGGTACACACACACACACACAGGTACACAGACACACACAGGTATACACACACACACACACACAGGTAAACACACGCACACGCACACACACACATACAGGTAAACACACACACACACACACACAGGTACACACACACACACACACACACAGGTAAACACACACACACACACACACACAGGTAAACACACACACACAGGTAAACACACACACACACATACAGGTAAACACACACACACAGGTAAACACACACACACACACACAGGTAAAACACACACACATACAGGTAAAACACACACACACATACAGGTAAACACACACATACAGGTAAAACACACACACACAGGTAAACACACGCGCGCGCACACACACACACACACAGGTAAACGCGTGCGCACACACACACACACACATACAGGTAAACACACACAGGGAAACACACGCGCGCGCACACACACACAGGTGATGAGATTTCATTGTGTGTGATCGTGTGATCGTGTATGTGTTTGTGTTTTTAAGGTAACCAGCGGCCGGTCTACCTGTTCCATAAAGGCCCCGCCCACAGGAAGTGATGTCATCGTGGACAGGATGTAACACTGCCCCGGGTGCTTCTTTTTGTCCTCTCGTTTCCACGAGAACGCACCTGCGACTGACAACAAGAGGTGCTGATTGGTGTAGTCAGGACGATGCACACCTGTCCCCAGCTGGACGACGCAAGCTTGTAGCTGATTGGCTGAACAGTTCGATGACGTGACATCACAGAGGAGAACTATCACATCTGATTGGACGGCAGAGTTTCCTGTGAATGTGATTTGCAGACATCAGGCTAAAGGCGTGTGGGTGGTCACTTCATGCCATGTGACCTCTAGTCCTGGACTCTGATTGGAGCGTGAACACTGACAGGAAGTGACATGTCCATCAGGGGATTTTTTCAAAATAAGATTCCATAATGAGACTTCATTAAGGGCCTGTGTCCACAGACGGCGCCTTATGACCTGAAAGCGCCTACGATCTCCGTTTCAGGGCGCTTCTCACCAGCGCTCCTTGTTGCTAGGTTACTAAAGTGAACTTGTGCTTCCCTCGGTAACGTCCGTTAGTTGTGTTTTTGGATATTTGCTTCAATTTAAAGAAATATCACCAAGAGAACATGAAGACGACGTAAAGGAGTCGTGTCCTGACAGCAGCAGCTCGAGCGTCTCCGCCGTCGTCGTTGTTGACAGAGATGATATCAGAAGTCCCGCCCCTTTTCATTCTGATTGGTCGGTGAGGGAGAAGGGACATTGACTTGGCGGGCTGTTCTAAAAGAATAAGAGTTTTTATTTTATCACGTTTTCTCTTTTCAAATATCTGAAAACTCAATAAAACTGAAGAAACGGAGGACGACTTATTTTCTTCTTCTGGTGATGAATAAATTAATAAATGTTTCAGGTGTTCAGATTTTTAACCTGTTGATTTTAAAACGCTATAACTCCTGAACCACATGAAACATTAAAACATCTGATGATTAGACGAGTCAGGTGAGTTTACCTGAGCGCGGTCCTCTGAAGCAGGATTAATGGTGCATTCACGTGGTGTCGGACACATCGGAAAAACAAGTTTCCGAGCTGTACATGCACATGAACATGCAGAGGCTTTTTAGGTCGGGTACAATCACTTCTATCTGAACCACTTCTCTTGACCGCTTCCATCGCTGCAACACCTGTTGACCTGATAACTGCTCTCATATCTGACAAACCGAGGGGCGTCCAAAACTTGTGACGATCTTAAAAAAGAAAATTCATGAACAAACATGAATGGATATAAACTTTATTAATACCAAACACTCTGATATGAACACACAGCAACAATCTAATCATCATTTAAATATTAAAATGTTATTTTTCAACACCGTCGGTTTTCAGAATAGTTTCATATTGTCTGTATTTTTTATTCAAAATAAAGTTATTAATTTAATTATCTCTGAACGAGAACCAAACGCGACACTGGACAAGACTTTTATTCTGAGATTTCACAGGATGAATGGGTGTGTATGTGACTTCCTGTGTTGCTGCAGACAGCCTCTAGTGGACACTCGAGGAACTGCAGGATCTTACACTTCAGCATCAGCTTCTTTTTTTCAACACCGGAGGATGCCTCTTGTAAAGAGTCACACCTGAGGTAAGACAACAGGCCCCACCCCCACCACTCTACCAACCAATCACAGAAGAAGATCTAATGTGTCGTACATGGAGAGACTTTGTATTGGTTGTTTTACTTTGACGGTTCTCGTTCTACTCGTTGAAGGTTGAATGAAGGTTAAATAATGACGTAATGATAACTATGGAAATGATTGACAGGTGTTGATATGGGTGTGGCCTCCGTCACAGCCCGAGCTCTAGCCCCTCCTCATTTCCATAGTAAGTGTGGTGGGTGTGGCCTGGTGAATCAAAGGTCAGCCCGCCTCTCTCTGCGCTGCTGTCGTCTGACAGTTGAGGGAGCTCTTCCGCTCCTCCGACGCCGCCCTCCTGTGCGTCTCCCTCAGTCCCAACAGCATCTGTGACGGCCCCGCCTCCCTCACCTGTGGCTCCGCCCAGGCTGGGGGCAGCCTCGCCTTTAGTGCGATCAGGTCCACCTCCGCTAAGTCGGGTTCGAGCCATGAGAGGGTGAAAGGTCAACAACAAAGCCTGATGGAGGAGGAGGGGCGTGGTCAGATCAAGCATCCTGGGCCCTTTCTGAATAGTCACAGTTCAGTAGTCAGTACTTTTCAGTAGGAGTTTCAGTAGACTGAACCCTCGTGGTCATTCAGTGGTTATTGTTTGGGTCCACCTCAGTATACTGAACATTTCAGTATGGATACTAACTTCCTGGTTTCATGCAGTATGGATTGGACGAATCCTTTCAGGAAATTAATTGTATTTTACCCACAATGCTGTGCGAAATTACACGTAAATCGTCACGTCACGTGCGCCTCCAAATCAAAACAAACGAGCGTGGATTAATTTAATCAATTTTTAATCTAGAGTTAAAGTCTCGACTGAAATCACTACTTTAAATTAACAACAGAAAATAAAACAAAAGTCTGCATTATTATAAAACCTTTCTCCCTCTATTTAAATAATGATTTCACTATTTAAATAATGATTTCTCTATTTAAATAATGATTTCACTATTTAAATAATGATTTAACTATTTAAATAATGATTTCTCTATTTAAATAATGATTTAACTATTTAAATAATGATTTCACTATTTAAATAATGATGTCACTATTTAAATAATGATTTAACTATTTAAATAATGATGTCACTATTTAAATAATGATGTCACTATTTAAATAATGATTTAACTATTTAAATGTCTTTATTGGTTTATTTTATATTCTGTATATTACTGTCTTTCATTTGTTCTTTATGTACTGTATGTTATTTAGTTATTTAATCTTTTACTTGATTTACATTGTGATATTGTTTGTTGTTTACCTGACTGTATATGAGAATTACTCTTAAATGAAACGTAAAGACGTCACTTCCATACTGAATGAATCAGAAGAAGTAGGAACAAATATCTGCCTACTGTGTGTGCATACTGAAGAGTAGGTACTAACAGTATACAGCAGATAGTACGTACTGCATACTGAAGAGTAGGTACTAACAGTATGCAGCAGATAGTAGGTACTAACAGTATGCAGCTGATAGTAGGTACTAACAGTATACAGCAGATAGTACGTACTAACAGTATACAGCAGATAGTACGTACTAACAGTATACAGCAGATAGTAGGTACTAACAGTATGCAGCAGATAGTAGGTACTAACAGTATACAGCAGATAGTAGGTACTAACAGTATACAGCAGATAGTAGGTACTAACAGTATACAGCAGATAGTACGTACTAACAGTATACAGCAGATAGTAGGTACTAACAGTATACAGCAGATAGTAGGTACTAACAGTATACAGCAGATAGTAGGTACTAACAGTATACAGCAGGTAGTAGGTACTAACAGTATACAGCAGATAGTACGTACTAACAGTATACAGCAGATAGTAGGTACTAACAGTATACAGCAGATAGTAGGTACTAACAGTATACAGCAGATAGTAGGTACTAACAGTATACAGCAGATAGTAGGTACTAACAGTATACAGCAGATAGTACGTACTAACAGTATACAGCAGATAGTAGGTACTAACAGTATACAGCAGATAGTACGTACTAACAGTATACAGCAGATAGTACGTACTGACTACTGACAGATTGAGTATGTACTTGACAATTCGGATATGGCCCTGGAGTACACTGTGACATCACTGCCTGCAGGTTAGAGGTCAACTTCAACATGTCCCAGGTGTCAGGTGTTATGATATCACATGTCAGGTGTTGTGATGTCATGTCAGGTGTTGTGATATCACATGTCAGGTGTTATGATGTCACATGTCAGGTGTTGTGATGTCATGTCAGGTGTTGTGATGTCACATGTCAGGTGTTGTGATGTCACATGTCAGGTGTTGTGATGTCATGTCAGGTGTTGTGATGTCATGTCAGGTGTTGTGATGTCACATGTCAGGTGTTGTGATGTCACATGTCAGGTGTTGTGATGTCATGTCAGGTGTTGTGATGTCATGTCAGGTGTTGTGATGTCACATG